GTTCCGCATTCTTTGTTGCTTCCACAACGAAGAGAGTATCCCCAACATCATCTCCCTCCTCGAAGCCTCAAACCCGACACCATCAAGCCCCATTTACGCCTACGTTGTCCACGCAGTCGAGCTGGTTGGCCGCGCTGTACCCCGACTAGTCCCCTTTAACACTGAAAAGCAGAAGAAAAAATACACCCGCAAAAACTCAGCCACCCGTCAAATGGTTCGAGCATTCGATAACTACTTGAAAATCTCCAGCGGGCCGGTCATAATCCAAGCATACACTATGATCGCGCCGTATAAATTTATGCACGAGAGCCTTTTTCGCCTGGCTGATGACAAGTTTGTGCCTCTGATCATCGTACCATTTCATGAAAACCATCCAGGCGTTGTTGGACCAAGTATGGTCGCAGCGATACGACACTTCAACGCAAATGTGCAATTATATTCCCAGTGTACGGTCGGGATCCTAGTCGACAGAGGCATGTCTTGTTCGCTGAGCTCAGTCCACTTCTCTTGCAATGTAGCTCTATTTTTTATTGGGGGAGCAGACGACCGCGAGGCGTTAGCCTTCACGGCACGCATGTCTGGCAATCCAAATGTCGGCATGACGGTGTTCAGGATAGCTTTGAGGAGTAAATTGAAAGAACGGAATGAGGAGGAGCAGGTGGCTGCAAAGCTGGACGAGTCGTTGGTGGATGAGTTCAGGCTAAGGAACATTGGGAATGACCGGTTGGACTGGCTGGAGATCGAGGTGGACGACAGCGTGCAGCTAATGGATGCGGTTATGAACTCGCAGGGGAGTTATGATCTTGTTATTGTGGGGCGGCGGCATGCGGATACGACGTTGAGGGACAAGGAAATGTCGGAGTTTGTGGAGAATGCAGAGCTGGGAGTGATTGGTGACATTGTTGCTTCCTCGGATTTTTGTGGCGGGCAGGTGAATGTGTTGGTGATACAAGAAAGCAGGGAATTAGGATATGGAGCTTTTCGCAGTGGACTTTGAAATTTTGGCAATGCATGATGAAATCTGCGCCGGCTAACAAAATTTCTCCCAATGTGGTCGAAGGCCATCAACCATCGAACAGCTAAACGTCGACTGATTTTTCAGCAATGATTTGGTATTTGTTTAAAGATTTGGAAGATACAAGCCAAAACAGAGGAACAACTGTTGATGAGCAGAACAGAGTAACTTGGTTGAACATTTTCTGATACAAAATGTGATGACGGGAGTGGTGACTAGTCAGTTTAGTTAGAAAACTTTAGGAGTTATATTTTGTTGCCATGAAGGCCAGAATTTTCTTGTAAACAATGACACTTCTGGCTTTTATAAGTTGTAGCTTGTTTTCCTCCTTTTTACTAGGGATGGCAATGGGTCGAATCGGGGGTGGGTATGCCATTTCCATCCCCATTTCCGTTAAGCTTTTTTCCCCTATTCCTGCATTCATACCTGCAATATTGGGGATTCCCCATCCCCACTTTTGTTGGGGAATGGGTTCCTCGACCTGCCTCATTACGGAAGAAAAAAATAATATATAACTATTTTGTTGAAAAAAAAAATACTAAGGCAAGATAATGAATATATATAATATATACTTATAAGACAATATAAGAATATTTATATATGTAGTGGAAGTTAACTAAATAAATAAGTAGTGTGGCGTATAAATTATATAAGTATATAATATAATAATATAAAACATAAACTTAGTTGGTACAATCACATTAATAGCATATTTTATATATATCATAATATATATACATCATCAAAAAATTAATATATATATATATATATATTCAAAATGGGTAAGATAATGAATATATATAATATATACTTATAAGACAATATAAGAATGTTTATATATGTATTGAAAATTAACTAAATAAATAAGTAGTGTGGCTTAAGATTTGTATAAATTATATAAATATATAATATAATAATGAAAAATATAAAACTTAGTTGGTACAATCACTTTAATAGCATATTTATATATACTATAATATATATATATATATACCTCATCAAAAAATTAATATATATATATATATATATTCTAAAATGGAAGAGTTCGGGTTGGGGATTAAAATACTATCCCCACCCCTCCCAAAACACCATACCCAAAAAATTCCCGTACCCATCTCCATACCCGTTTTATGTCCTTCATACCTAACCCTTTAGGATCGAATCTGCTTAAAGACCCTTACCAGCGGGAAAAATTGTCATCCTTACTTTTTACCTAGTTGCACTCAAATTTACCCAATTTTTCATGTGTTTAATATTAATATATGATATTCTACTTCATCTTATGTGTTGAGGATAAGTTCTTTTGTTGCATGAATGAGAACCTTTTCCCAAGTTGAACTTGAAATTTTCAGTCAGTTTTGTTAAAAAATTAATAGATGATAATTTCGCGAACCTTATGGACCAGTTGTGATATAAAGAGTAACCTTAAAGACCAATCATGTCGCCAAAAAAAACCCTTCAGGACGAAAGATGATAATTTCCCGAACCTCGTGAACCATTTGTGATAAAAGAGTCTTATATTTATTTATAATGTCGTATTGCTTGCGTTCGAATAAGATTTTGTGTGTGGATATATTGCGTAGGAAGCTTTTTATTTATTTATTTATAAATTCATGCTGAACGTGTTTGAATAGTTCCTCCCCTCCCTTTCGGATAGAGCATTAAAATATTAATTATTGATGAATAGTGAAAATCTTTAAAATATATATATATATATATATATATATATAACAACGATATATATATATTTTTAGTACAAACGATAGTTTAAACTATAGGGGAGGGAGATTTCTCACACACATAACTATGATGTCATGAGGATTTAAACCTGAGAGATCTTTGATTTGCAAGTCGAGGCCCTTTTTGCCCACCCCAGGAGTGCTCTCCTATTCTGACTTCACCAGAGCCTTTGGTAGCACAGTCAAGACAGCGATGAGTTTTCTGCCCCTGCGAGGGTGGGGTGACATAAGTTTTGAGAATTCAAGATAAGGTCACGGCGAGACGAGCCGTTTATCATTACGTAAATCATTTAATATGCCGAAAGGTATTCCTATTATCCCTTATCTAGTAGAAGATGATATTAGAGATACGGAGTTAAATCCGGATAGAAAATATTTTGATTGGAGAATTTTCCATTTTCGTTGTTCCCTTCCCAAGGGTAAGTTCTTACGCGTTACTCACCCGTCCGCCACTAGAAACACCACTTCCCATCCGACTTGCATTTTCACCGACCCATTGGCCAAAAAGCTATATTAATTATTGATAAATAGTGCAAATCGTTTTAGTGGATATTGAAAGAGCAAATGGTGTAATCCATTGTCCATGGTGTCCAAGGATTCATAGTGTCATTATGCATCAGCCTTGTGAGAAAACAGGTCTCTTATTAGAGGCTGCATTGATAGGCAATGCTTTGAACAAGAAATATAATTTCGTTTCATTGATAATAATTAAAGTGATTCACAAATAATATGATGACACACTCCAACATGGATGACTAATTTCTAACTATAAATTGAAATCCGTTGGAACAGCATAACCAATTTCTTTATTATTATTATTTTTACAAATTTTATGTCTGTAGTGTTTGACTTTAGCCAACTCCTGTACGTATTTCGTTGGTTCCTACCAAAGAAATTGACAACTAATAATATAACGACTCTTACAGCAAAAGGGAGGGCGCCATAAAAAACTCAAAATTACCCTGAGTTTACTTCAAATTACAACCAAGAACCAACCTCAGGTTTCAAAGTTTTTGCAAAATCTCAATCTCAAGCGATCATTTGGGAATTTGGGAAATGGCTGCCTTAAACAACAACACACAAGTTGATGTAGTGGAACCGCAGCATTGCATGCTTGTTCATGCCTCCTCCTCCAGAGGCATTTGGTTCGGAGAGAATCCTTTCGACGATCCCTATCCTTTAATGCTAGCCCAAATCATCCTAGTTGTTCTTACTTCCCGGCTGCTTTATTTTTTGCTCAGGCTATTGGGACAAACCAAATTCGTCTGCTGCGGATCCTACCCTGGAAACAGAAATACCCACATTAATGGCCGGTCTGATTCCAGCATTAAATAAATCGGCAGATAAGAATATTTGTCCATCTGGCGATCTCCTGGTATGCTCACCCAAATGCTCATCATGCTTGTTGTTGAAAGTTTTTATTTCCTAAGTCAACAATGAGATTTGAATTAAAAAAACTAGGGTCATGTCAAGTTTACTAATTAAGTTTGTGACATGACATTATTATCTTTTTGGTTGAAATGTTCTTCAGAGTGGCATTATCTTGGGGTCCTCTGTTCTTGGGGCAGCAAGGCATTCAAGGACAGACTATTCGCAGCTAAAGTGATTCCATTGTTTGACACAATGGCCACTGTTGGTGCAATATACTCCATGTTCCTTGTTGCATTGAAATTTGACGCAACCTGCTTCAAAAGAAGGGCAAAAGATAGCGTGAAAATTGGTCTGGTCGGCTGCATCTTACCTTCCGTAGTCACCTCAACCCTCCTCCTCCTGCTAGGCCTAGGGGGCGCAATTCATGGACTCGGCCAGCTCCTGCAGGAACATTCTATCTCACTATTACCTTTTCTTTAACTTTTTTTCCTGTGGTAGCTCAGGCCATGGATGAACTCAACCTTATGACCTCTGAGTTGGGCCAATTTGCCATGTCCTCTGCCATCCTCAACGATGTGATCTTCTGGTTCCTCATTGCATTGTATCTCATATTCACGAAACCTATTACGAGATATTGTTGTACTAGGAAATAATATTGTAATATATTTACTTTCCTGTATTGTTCTAGGTCAAATCCCACCTAAAGTGGATCAGGCTTCTACGCCTTAGAAATAGGAATTGTAATGTATATATAACTAGGTCTGTAGACTTTTATCAATACAACGAAAATATTCAGCCAATCCCTTATTTCTTGAGATGGTATCAGAGCATCCTGGTACGTGATTTTTTTTTCCAAATCATAGCACTCCTCCATCATGACGGGTGGAGAGCAGACATCACCAAAAACCAATTCCAAACATTCAAGCACCAGCAACACCAATCCCAGTATGGATTCATCACACCCGTACTTTGTTTCTCATTCAGATCACCCCGGCCTCATGCTCGTTCCCATAAAATTGAACGGCACCAATTACCCATCTTGGAGCAAATCCATGATTCATGCTCTCACAGCCAAGAACAAAATTGGCTTTGTCAATGGATCCATTAAGCCTCCTTCAGAAACTGAACAGCCGACAGAATATGCTCTCTGGAATCAATGCAACAGTATGATTTTATCATGGTTAGCTCACTCGGTGGAGCCTGATCTAGCCAAATCAGTCGTTCATGCCAAGACCGCCCATCAAGTGTGGGAAGATTTCCAAGATCAATTCTCACAAAAGAATGCACCAACAATATATCAGATACAGAAGTCCATCGCCTCTCTCTCACAAGGCACCATGACAGTCTCAGAATATTACACAAAACTCAAAGATCTTTGGGATGAATTAGAGACATATCAAACCTTGCTTATCTGTAACCAGATGAAGGCACATAATGAACAAAAAGAAGAAGATCGGATGATGCAGTTTCTCATGGGCCTTAATGACACCTACAACGGTGTTCGTAGCAGCATCCTCATGATGACGCCATTGCCAAATGTTCGTCAAGCCTACTCACTCGTCATTCAAGATGAAACACAGCGCCAAATGACCTCGGGTTCCACAGAAAATTTTTCCATTGCCGTTGCGATACAGAACTGCTCTCACAATTTCTCAAATAATTCCAAACATTGTGCTCACTGTGACAGGAACGGCCATACAATTGAAGACTGTCGGACGTTAAAGTTTTATTGCCCATATTGTGATAAGAATGGCCACACTGAGGATCGATGCAAATTAAAAAATGGGACATGGGTTTCCAACAGTACAGGACCCCAGAACAATCGGCACCACCAAGGACAGAGAGGAAATCAACAGCAACAGAAACAAGGGAGCAACCGCAGTTAGCGAGGATCCTTTCATGCTGTCAACGCAGCAGACGCAACCCAAGTTGGGGCTCAGCAGCAATCCACAGTCGCACCAGCCCCGTTCCCGAGTTTTAATAATTGGGCACCACAACCAGCCCAATTGTCTCATCCGCCAACCTCTCAACCGAACCCTCTCCATGGGCTCTCTGCAGACCAGCTTCAACAACTAGCCCATGCTGTCTCTCTGTTAAATTCGAATAATGCTTCGGGTAATAGCCATGCTTATGCTAATGCCGCAGGTCTGTCTCAATTTCCCGTTGCCTCGATTAATTCTGTATTCACCAAACCTTGGATTTTGGACAGCGGAGCTACTGATCACATCACGTCCGACCCCACACTTTTTACACAAACAAAGTCTTCACAAATACCAATTGTCAATTTACCCACTGGGTCTTCTGCCCAAATCACTTCCACTGGGACAGTCCCGTTCAATTCAGATATCACTTTAGATAATGTCTTATGTGTTCCCTCTTTTCGCTTAAATCTTATGTCTGCTAGCAAGATTACTACCTCTCTAAATTGTTGTGTCCTTCTATTTCCCACTTTCTGTGTCTTGCAGGACTTGGCTACGGGGAAGATGATTGGCTCGGGTAAGCAGCATGGTGGTCTCTATTACATGTCTCCATTGCAGAAAACACCTGTCACTTATCAAGTTTCTCATCCCTCCCATTTGTGGCACATGCGCCTTGGACACCCGTCACCTTCGCGTCTTAAATTACTGTCTTCATTCTTGCCTTTTAGTCCTCTCTCTTTTGATGATAATTGTAGTGTTTGTCCCATGGCCAAGCAAACTAGACTTCCGTTTCCTTTAAGTTCAATAAAAACTCATGCTCCTTTTGATTTGTTACATTGTGATATTTGGGGTCCACACAAAGTTCCCACACATTTAGGGGCCCGTTTCTTTCTTACCATTGTCGATGATTTTACTCGTTGCACATGGCTCTTTTTGATGACACATAAATCTGAAACACAAAATATTCTCAAATCTTTTGTTACCTTTGCTCATACTCAATTTCATGCCACCGTTAAGGCTATTCGAGTAGACAATGGTTCTGAATTTCTGTCCATGAGAGATTTTTTCCAAACTCAAGGCATCGAATATCAACGCACTTGTGTTTACACTCCACAACAAAATGGAGTCGTTGAACGCAAGCATCGCCATATTCTCATTGTAGCTCGCGCATTGCGTTTCCAATCTCACTTGCCTCTCCCTTTTTGGGGTGAATGTGTCTTAACTGCTGTCTATCTCATTAACCGCCTACCCTCCCCACTATTATCCACCAAATCCCCTTTTGAACTACTATACAATCACCCACCATCATTTGATCACTTGAGAGTTTTTGGTTGCCTTTGTTATGCCACAGTTGTCCACCCTATTCATAAATTTGACCCTCGCGCTCAACGTTGCGTCTTTGTTGGATACCCCACTGGTCAGAAAGGTTACAAACTTTACAATTTAGAGACTAAGAAATTTCTCGTTAGCCGTGATGTCAAGTTTTGTGAACACACTTTTCCTTTTTCTGACATTTCCACCCCCACCGCTTCCACTTTTGTGCCACCCCACCTTCCACACGCTAGCCTTGATCACACTGATCGCTGGACCCAACACACCCCACATGCTGAGCCGGGCCCCCCACTTGAGCCATCCCAACTGAGTCCCACCCAGCCATCCACACCTGACGCCCCTCCAACCACGTCATCCCATGGACCCGCGCCTGACGAGCCCTCCCATCTTGACAGCCCAATCCGACCTGTGTCTCCCCAGCCCCCCTCACACGTCCCAACAGACTTGTCCCCCCTTCCAGCCGGTCCTCCCTTATCTCTTTCACCCAATTCCGAATCCTCTCTCATGCATAACCATTCCCCCAACCCCATTCCTTCTATTCCCCTTCCACGCCAGTCACTTCGTCCTAAGCAACCCCCTATTTGGCATAAAGATTACCATCTGTCCAACCGAGCCGGTCACTCAACCTCGGCGCTTTGTTCTTCATCAGGTACTCGATATCCACTTTCTCACTTTCTTTCCTACTCCCGTTTGTCTTTTGCACATTCTGCTTTTCTTGCTAACATCTCAGGTCACACCGAACCTACATCATATGCTCAAGCTATCCTTGATCCCAATTGGCAACAGGCCATGTCTGCAGAATTAGAGGCTTTGCAGCACAATCGTACTTGGAGTTTGGTTCCTCTTCCCCTTGGTCATAAACCGATCGGCTGCAAATGGGTTTACAAAATCAAATACAGGTCTGATGGCACCATTGAGCGCTACAAAGCTCGCCTTGTTGCTAACGGCTACACTCAAGTTGAAGGAATTGATTACCAAGAAACCTTTTCTCCTACAGCCAAACTCACCACCCTCCGCTGTCTACTCACTGTTGCTGCTGCCCGCCACTGGTTCATCCATCAACTGGACGTTCAAAATGCCTTTCTTCATGGTGATTTGAATGAAGTGGTTTATATGGAACCTCCTCCTGGTCTTCGCCGACAGGGGGAGAACACTGTATGTCGGCTCAACAAGTCCCTTTACGGACTCAAACAAGCTTCCAGAAATTGGTTCTCCACCTTTTCAGACACCATTCAGAAAGCTGGTTATCAACAATCAAAGGCTGATTACTCTCTTTTTACCAAAGCTCAAGGCACTTCATTTACTGCTGTACTTATCTATGTTGACGACATACTTCTCACAGGCAATGATCTTCAGGAAATGGAACACCTCAAAACATTCCTTTTGAAACGCTTCCGCATCAAAGATCTCGGAGATTTGAAATATTTTTTGGGCATTGAATTCTCCCGCTCCAAGAAAGGTATTTTTATGTCTCAAAGAAAATATGCACTAGATATTTTGCAAGATTCAGGACTTCTGGGGGCACGCCCAGACAACTTTCCAATGGAACAGAATTTGAAACTAACTCCCACAGATGGAGAACTGCTGCATGATCCAACTAAGTACAGAAGACTGGTTGGTAGACTGATTTATCTCACTGTCACAAGGCCTGACATAGCTTATTCCGTTCGAACATTGAGTGAATTTATGCATCAACCACGAAAACCTCATTGGGATGATGCCTTACGGATCCTCAAATATGTCAAGGGTACTCCTGGTCAAGGTTTGTTATTTCCTGCCTCTAACAATCTTGCCTTGAAAGCTTTTTGTGATTCAGATTGGGGTGGTTGTCGTGCCACAAGGAGGTCAGTTACAGGATATTGTGTTTTTCTTGGAAATGCCCTAATCTCATGGAAATCCAAGAAACAAACTAATGTTTCTAGATCATCAGCAGAAGCTGAATATCGAGCCATGGCTAATACTTGTTTGGAGCTGACTTGGTTGCGCTACATATTACAGGATTTAAAGGTCCTACAGACAGTTCCTGTGCCATTATTTTGTGATAATAAGGCAGCTTTGTATATTGCAGCAAATCCTGTTTTTCATGAACGTACAAAGCACATTGAAATAGATTGTCACATAGTTCGAGAAAAATTGCAAGCCGGAATGATTAGTCCTTCATATGTACCTACACGCTTCCAGCTGGCAGATGTGTTTACGAAGGCCTTGGGAAAGGATCAATTTGTGACACTACGAGACAAGTTGGGTCTTCATGATATTCACTCTCCAACTTGAGGGGGAGTATTACGAGATATTGTTGTACTAGGAAATAATATTGTAATATATTTACTTTCCTGTATTGTTCTAGGTCAAATCCCACCTAAAGTGGATCAGGCTTCTACGCCTTAGAAATAGGAATTGTAATGTATATATAACTAGGTCTGTAGACTTTTATCAATACAACGAAAATATTCAGCCAATCCCTTATTTCTTGAGAAAACCAGACGCAACCTATCGCGTTGAGAGTTTTATTTCCGTCTTTGGGTTGATATTATTCACTATCTACGTCATACGCCCAATTATGCTGTCGATTGTCAAGAACATCCCCCAAGGACAAGAAGCCAAGGAAGTTCATGTAGTTGCAATACAACTTGGGGTTCTAGTCATGGCTTTTATCTCCGATGCCTTAGGCACAGCGCCGTACGCTGGTGTTGTACTTCTGGGGCTAGCCATACCCGGTGGACCACCTCTTGGTGCAGCAGTAGTCCACAAGACCGAATATTTGGTCTCCCAACTTCCTATGCCAATGTTCTTTTTCTACGTTGGAGACGATCATTATCATGTCGTACGTCTCAAAGATTGTGGCAGTTGTAGCGGCTGCAATGTGGTGCAAAATCGGTTAAAAATGGTCTAAGGCTCAGCATGGCCATGAGCGTCAAGGGTATAATAGAGATTATCTCTTATTCTCGATGTAGGACCGTAAAGGAACTCTTCCCCTTTTTCTTTCACTTCCAAAATATCCCACCCCATAAAATATATGTTAATTTTGATTCCAAGTTAATATTTCAATGACAGCTCATAGATGAACAAGCTTTTACTCAAATAGTGTTATCTATGCTGGGGATGACCATGATTGCAACACCATTGCTACGATTCTCATACAGCCCTAAAATCCGACTCGGAGCATCAACCAAACGTCCCCGCTTCAGAAGCATCCAATCAATGCCAAGCAACTTCGAAACATTTCGCATTCTTTGTTGCTTTCACAACCAAGAAAGCATCCGCAACCTTATTACCCTCCTGGAAGCCTCATACCCGACGCAAGCAAGCCCCATCTGCACCTACGTGGTCCATGCAGTGGAGCTGATGGGGCGTGCGGCGCCACTACTAGTCCCTCACAATAAATTAAAGCGCACAAATACACCGACCCATCAAATGATTCAAGCCTTTGAGAATTACTCAGACAACTCCGAAGGACAGGTCACGATCCACGCTTACGATATGATCGCTCCTTACAAAAGCATGCACAACACAATAATCCGTCTTGCAGAAGACAAGGTCGTTCCTCTGATTATCTTACCATTCCATGATCACCAGGGTATGGTTGACCTCACTTTGATTGCCTCCATACGCCAATTCAACATCAATGTGCAAACAAATTCCCCATGTACAGTGGGAATACTTGTTGATAGAGACTTGTCTAGTCGGCTGAGATTGACAAGCTCTTCCTTCAATGTAGCGGTGATTTTCATTGGTGGAGCAGATGACCGTGAGGTGTTGGCATACGCAGCAAGAATATCTGGCAATCCGACCGTGGGTATGACGGTGTTCAGGATAATCTTGCGGGGTAAACTAGGAGGAGGTAACCAAGAGGAGGAAATAGAGGCCAAGCTCGACCAGTCTTTGGTCGACGAGTTTAAGCTGGGGAACATCGGGAATGATTGTGTGAATTGGTATGATATCGAGGTGGATGACGGTGCACAAGTTATGAGTGCCATTAAGAAGTTGCAGGGCGATTATGATCTTGTCATGGTAGGGCGACGGCACGTGGAGATGTCGCTGAGGGATGAAGAAATGGCGGTATTCATGGAGCATCCAGAGCTGGGAGTGATTGGTGACATGCTGTCTTCTTTAGATTTCTGTGATGGGATGGTGAATGTGTTGGTCATGCAAGAAAGCAGAGGCTTAGGCTGTGGAGCTTTTCGTAGTGACTCTGCAAGGGTTTCATAGAATATTAATCTACTATAAAATGTTAAAAGGAGAATGACTTACAAGGGAGTATCCTTGCTTCCTAGGGAGAAGCAAACAAGTAGCTTTGGTTAGCTAGAAGTAAACACTATATCTCCTTCACTCTAGTTTCTTATTTTGTTAAAAGAATTTCCTAGTTAGAAGATCGTGAACATTGGAAGTTAGAAATATTTGCCTTTTGGGTCTCTTTTTTTGGGGTAAATAATGTCCAGGGTTTAGTTTAGTAGAAATATTGGTTTACTCTTTTGTTGATTATGACCTACTGTAGTTTCCGGTTCAACATAGATTTTCCGGTAGCATATGTTGATTCTGTGTCTAATGTTTGAGGATTTTAGTTTTGTTATATGAGCAAGGAAAGAATCGTTTATGAAAAACGGTATATGGAGAAGAGAAAGAGCAGAGGGAATGAGGAATGTTCAGTATATTTCTCTTGATGCAAATGAGCACAAACACACACTCAAATACATGACAGATACTGCCAAAATAGCTCAGAGCCTAAATTTTAGGTAGCAAGGACTCATCTCCAGCCATACATAACCATTGGAGGCTACGATCCTTACACCTAGGCTCTATTGGTTATCAAGGTACAGCTGAAAAGATAGGAATTACAGCTGTAGGAATTTTCCCAAAAGGGAAATAAAACTAGCCGTTAGACAGCTAAGCTAACAGCTTATACTAAAACTAGGAAGTTCCCAAGTTCTTCGATTTCTTCATTCTCTTCATTATCAATCTGCAGGATTGTCATCTGCGGCTTGATTTAAGCTTAGTATGCAGCTTAATTCTCAACAGCATACATTTACTAATTAAGCGTTAGATCTTTATAGCCCTTGTACTTATCACGTTACCCTTAATTCAATGATAATCAATATGCTAAAATACAGCCAAAGAGCAAGAACACTAGAATCCAACAGGAAGAATGAGAAAACCTCAAATGTATTCAATTATGAAAATAGGAATAACAACCCTAAACTCCTACCCAAAGTTTGCTTAAATACTTCCTCAAGTTCCTAGAAACCCTAGGGACCCAAAAAGGAATTAAAAGGGAAAATAGTAAAAATTCCAAAAACTAATTAAAATAATCAAATAATGTTTTTGGCTACTAAAGACATCAAACACCCAAAAGAGCCCATACAACATGGAAAAGCGATGAGTTTTACTCGTGACATCGTTCTCTTTGAAACGACAATTCATGGGCTGAATTCCGAGCTCATGGTCCAAACCTGCAGCTTTCTAGTTTTGTTTTTGCACATTGCTTCCGCATATGTTGTACATCATTGGAAGTTAGATTTTGTTGCCATGATGGCCAGAATATTCTTGTAAACAATGACACTTGGGTTTTATAAGTTGTAGCTTGTTTTCCTCTTTTTAACCTGCAGTCAAATTTACCCAATTGTGTTCGGTATTAATATCTGATATTCCAAAGTTGAACTTGAAAATTGCAGTCAGTTTTTTTTTTTTTTTTAAATAGTTTTAGAGGAGTTGAGAAAGCATTTGTGAACGGGTAATCTCTTACAAAATGAAATGAATCCAGTTATATAGAAAAGCTGGTTCCGTCAACGATATTTGATGCTTGGCACTTTTGTAATTTCTTGAGTATTATCTCTAACTATAAATTGAAATCCGTTGTAACAGCATAACCAATTTATTTATTTGTTTAAAACTTTTATGTTGAAGTGTTTGACTATAGCCAACCCCGGTATTTTTGTTGGTTGCTTGCTACGAAAGAAATTGACAACAACCATACCGCTCTCTATAACGACTCTGACAGATCAAAAGGTACGTAGGGCGCCATAACCACCAAAAATCACTCAAATTTTTCCAAGAGTTTTTGGAATGATTATGTGGGTTTCGTATTCATATATAGCCTGGCAATCTCAAGCAATCAATTAGGAATTTGGGACGGGAGAGGGACGAAAGAAATCAATGGCGTCCTTGAACAACAACACACAAGTTGATGTAGTGGAAGAGCAGCATTGCATGCGATTTCCGGCCGCCTCCAGCAGAGGCATTTGGTTCGGAGAGAATCCGTTGGACGATACCCATCCTCTAATGCTGGCCCAAATCATCCTAGTCGTTGTTACTTACCAGCTTCTTTATTTTTTGCTCGGGCCATTGGGACAAACCAAATTCGTCTGCAATCTCCTGGTACTAATTAATTCAGTTTGTGACATTATTATTAATTATTCTTTTATTTTTGGTTGAAACTTAAATATAATATATGTTTTTCAGAGTGGCATTATCTTGGGGTCGTCTGCTCTTGGGGGCACCAAGGGATTCAAGGACAGACTATTCGCAGCCAAAGTGATCCCGCTGTTCGACTCAATGGCCAGTGTTGGTGCAATATACGCCTTATTCCTTGCTACATTGAAATTCGACGCACTCCGCTTCAAAAGAACGTCGAAGAAAGATACCGTGAAAATTGGTCTGGTCTGCTGCATCGTACCTTCCGCAGTCACCTCAACCCTCCTTTTCCTGCTAGGCGGCCCCGGCACCATTCCTGGAATCGGCAAGGGAGCTGCTGCAGGAGCAATATATATCACTAGTTTCTTTTCTTTAACTTTTTTTCACGGGTTGGCTCAGGCCTTGGATGACCTCAACCTTATGACCTCTGAGTTGGGCCAATTTGCCATGTCCTCCGCCCTCCTCAACGATGTGATCTACTGGATCGAAATTACATTCTATTTCTTATTCGCGCGAGCACGCGCAGGCCATGGCATTCAGAGTTTTATGTCCTTGCTTGGGTTGACATTATTCACTTTCTACGTCATACGCCCAACTATAATGTGGATTATCAACAACATCCCCCAAGGACAAGAAGCCAAGGAAGTTCATGTAGTTGCAATACAACTTGGGGTTCTAGTTCTGGCATTTATCTCCGACACCTTAGGCCTGGCGATGGACACAGGTCCTATACTTCTTGGGGCAGCCATACCAGGGGGACCACCTCTTGGTGCAGCAATAGTCCACAAGACCGAATATTTGGTCTCCCAATTTCTTATGCCAATCTTCTTTTACCGCATTGGATACAGACTAAATGTGTTTTCGATTCGCGATTGGACGAGTTTTTCCACACTTCAGTCAATCATTGTCGTGTCGTATGTTTCAAAGATTGTGACAGTTGTAGCGGCCGCAATGTGGTGCAAAATCGGGTTTAAAAATAGTCTAAAGCTCAGCATAGCCATGAGCATCAAGGGTATAATAGACGTTCTTATTTATTCTCGATGGAGGGCCACAAAGGTAAATAAAACTCTTTAATTCTCTTTTTCTTTCACTTCCATATAATATATCCCACCATACAACATATATATATATATATTAATTTTGATTCTAAGTTAATATTTCAATCTCAGCTCGTAGATGAACAAGCTTTTACTCAAGTGGTGTTGTCTATGCTGGGGGTGACCCTGGTCGCGACACCATTGCTACAGTTATCATACAACCCTAAAATCCCACTCCGATCAGCATCAACCAAACATCCCGCTTTCAAAAGCATCCAGTCAATGCCAACCAACTCTGAAACATTTCGCATTCTTTGTTGCTTTCACAACCAGGAAAGCATCCACAAGCTGATTTACCTCCTGGAAGCCTCATACCCGACGCAAGCAAGCCCCATCATCACCTACATGGTCCACACAGTCGAGCTGATGGGGCGTGCCGCGCCTCTACTAATTCCTTACAAGAGATTAGAGTGCAGAAATGCATCATCAAGCACAAATGAATCATCATCAATCCATCAAATGATGCGAGCCTTTGAGAATTACTCAGAAAACTCCAGAGGACCGGTCACGATCCATGTTTACAATATGATCGCTTCCTACAAAAGCATGCATGACACTATTCTCCGTCTTGCGCATGACAAGGTTGTACCTCTTATTATCTTACCATTCCATGATCACCGGGGTACGGTTTACCACAATTTGATTGCTCCCATACGCCAATTCAACATCAATGTGCAAACAAATTCCCCATGTACAGTGGGAATACTTGTTGACCGAGGCTTGGCTTGTCAGCTGAGCTCGACATACTATTCCTTCAATGTAGTGGTGATTTTCATTGGTGGAGCAGATGACCGTGAGGCGTTGGCCTACGCAGGACGGATGTCTGGCAATCCTGACGTGGGAATGACAGTTCTGCGAATAATCTTGCGGAGTAAACTAGAAGGAGGTAGCCAAGAGCAGGAAATAGAGGCCAAGCTAGACCAGTCTTTGATCGACGAGTTTAAGCTGGCGAACACCGGGGATGAGTGCCTGAATTGGCATGATATCGAGGTGGATGACAGTGCACAAGCTATGACTGCCATTAAGAAGTTGCAAGGCAATTATGACCTTGTCATGGTAGGGCGGCGACACGTGGAGATGTCGCTGAGGGATGAAGAAATGGAGGAATTCGTGGAGCATCCAGAGCTGGGAGTGATTGGTGACATGCTTGCTTCTTCAGATTTCTGGGATGGAATGGTGAATGTGTTGGTCATGCAAGAAAGCAGGGGATTAGGCTATGGAGCTTTTCATAGTGACTCTGCAAGGTTTTCAGAGAATATATATGAATGACATGCTGAAGTTAAATCACCATTGATGCGTGGAAGGAAGAAGGTGATGTGAAAATTAGGTGTAGGGATTCCTAAAATCCTAAGAGGCTATGAGAGAATAAACCATCTACCATACACATGTCAAATATGAAATCAAATGAAGCGGACGCAAGGAAATAGCTAGAGGTTCATGCATGTCTCATCTTAGGTCCCAATCTTTATAGGTTTATGAAAGTATATGCACCTATGACACTCACTATCAAATATTTGAGAGAAGGTAGAGAGTGAGCTTACCCTTGGAGCGAATCTTGAATCCAAGAATGGAATTCAAGTAGAAGGAATAGTCCGTTTGTTGTTGATTCTCCACTTTGTTCTCCAAATAGCCACAATGGTGAGAGTAAGAGTGAGAGAAAAGAGAGCTAGGGTTCTTGTGAGAGCTAAGGAGGCTTTTGATTGTAACCAAAGTTGTTCTTATATACTAGTGAATTTCTCGGGTGGATCACCAAGAGGATGTAGGCATGAGGCCGAACCTCTATAAATCTTTGTGTTCTTATGTGTGTTTGCTTTCTCTCTTCAATGTGTGTGTTTTATTCTCAAGAGGTTTGTGTGTGTGCCGTCGCATAGTCCATCAACGACAAGGTCTTGAAGTGTTTGCACACAACATGACATTCTTAGTATAAAAGGTTAAACGGAGAGAAGGACTAACAAGGGAGGGAGTCAGTTTCGTATATTATATCAACTACTTTTCTTCCTTACTGCCTAGTGTGAAGCATATAAGTAGTTCTGGTTAGAAAGAAGTCAATTTTGTGATCAAAACCCAAATGCATTAACAGCCAACATACATTTGAATGAAATTAGGAACCCAACTTATTTCCTTAATTGAAGAACCTTAGTAGAAGGAAGCACATAAATTCTCTAATACATAATCCAATGTGTTTGATACACAAATCGAGCCGCACTTTTCGAATCAAAATTTTTTCTTGGACAACTAACTTGAGGACTTAACAGAATGAAGTTAATTCGAGTCGCTGTGCTGTACATAGGTCTCACTTCTGGTGTCCATTCCTTAGTATTGCAGCCGGGAAATGTTCATTGAACCCTATATATGTTCAAACCAGACAATGGAAGCTAGGACTAGACAATAGCTTAGGTAAATCACAAACATGGTATGTGTAATTGATTGTCATTGATGTCAATGAATGTCAACTCAAATTCTGATGAGCTTCACTATGAGCACCAATGAAATCTTTGTCAAATTGATTAACCAGTGTTGCTTGTTTCCTTTATATTGATTAATATAAGATCCTCATATCTGGTCACCCACTTTTAATGTTTCCTCATCTTTTGTGTTTGGGACACAAATTTCCTTTACCTTTGCTGCTGCCTTGTCATGAGGAGTAAATATTTAGTTTGGTTGGAATATTGATGCCAAGTATGGAAGTCAGAACTGATTGCCAAATCAAGGGTTTCAATTTTCTTGTAAAGAATGACTTGGGTTTTACTTGTAGTTTGTTTTTCTTCTTCCCTATTGTTTTTTTTTCTTTATTTGGTTGTAACCACATTTGCCTACCTATCTTCTGGAGTATAACTACATAATAAAAGATATATATATATATATATATATATATGTATATATTATAAAACAAGGCCTTTTTAATTATCTGTAGATTGCCCTTGCTTGCAATAATAGGTGTTGGGTACCAAATTGTTTAATAGTCTCATATCTTTTTCATGGATGAAACAGAAGAATACGAGAAACAGGGCAATCTAAGAAACAGAGGAGTATAAGAAACAGGGGATTCTAAGAAACAGAGGAGTAATAAGAAAAAACATTTCATTAACTTCAAAACATTTCTTTAACACTTGCTTACGAAATACAAAACATGTATGAATCAAGAAACATGTCTGTTTGCCTGTGACTAAATCAGATGGTACTTGGTTTTGCAACCGCAGCGCCACCCATCTCCTCTAAGCCCACTTTATGTATCAAAAAATAACAATGAAACAGAGCAAGAACTAGACCCCCAAATGCAGGGGAAATACAAACAACAATGGAATCATATAACTGAGAAGGGAAAAATGAAAACCCCATAGTTGGGTTTCTGAGTTGCTAGCATTGGTAGCATATATGGTGATATTTAGATTCTTAACACAGAGGCAGATCCGCCGGAGGAGCCTCGATCGACTGCAGTGTCCCAACTCCATTGTCAACCAAGAAGACCATGGCCAAACCCCAGTTGATATGAACATCCAAGTGACAATGCATTATCCAGGCCCCTACAAATGTAAAAAATATTAGTATCCTCTAATTAAATCCTTAAATTTGTAACCGTCAAACATAAAATATTATATTATTTAAGTAATTGTTACCTGGATTGTCAGCTACGAATCTGATGACTGCCCATCCATTCGCAGGCACTGCCACTGTGTTCCTCATAGGTGGATCAACAAGGTTGAATTTTTTGGTATCAGTCTGGGCATTGAAATTTCCAAAACCTTCTGCAAGGATGTAGAAATCGTATCCGTGGAGATGAATAGGGTGGTTCTCTGGTGTGACGATACTTGTGTCTTGTAGCACAACCTGCACCCTTGATCCATACTTCAACTTGTATCCCCTGGTTCCAGAAAGAGGCTGCCAGAGGGAGCGGCTCACGTTGCCCGTGTAATCGAATTTCAGGGGTGGGTTTGCTGGAAAATCAGCAGTGAAAACTCCAGGTATGTTTTGTTGATAGGCCTGCAAGATTGAGATGTTGTTTGGAAGCACAAAGGACACATTGTTCATGCTGGCTGTGAAGCGTGTTCCATTGGGGCCTTGGCACCTTCTGGTTTGGTTGAAATGCTTTGGGCAGTTGTTGAGTCCAAGGCCGATTGTGAAGAAAAGGTTTTCGTCGATTTCAGTTGGGACTTCAACTTTTCTAGGACTTCTGAAGCTTGTGGTGAAAGCAGAGGCAGTGGCTGTGTCATTGAAAGCAGGAAGTTGTGGCATAATTGGTTTAACTGCTGGACCGTTTGTGCAGTTGGGGCTGCAAGGGGCAGACTTGTATTCAAGAATGGCCGTGGTGGTGGTGTTGTCAAATGCTGCATTTTGTGCACTGAAATAGGCACGCGCTGCCAAGTAGTATCGGGCTGGTGGCTGGTCACCGGTGATCAAAACATCGGTTGTCTGGCCGGGTCCCAGCATGAGGACTCTGCTGGTGAAAGGTTTGGTGTAGGAGGCGTCAGCGCTAACAATAGTCAGTTTGTGGTTTGCCACAGTGAAGAAAAGAGGTTGGTTGAGGGCAGCGTTGATGATTCTAAGAAGGTTGGTCTCACCGGAGTCTATAGGAACTATGATTGTGTCTGCATAGCAATCAGAGACAAAGATAATTAGTTGATCGCGTCATGTGTCTACATCAATTATTATAGTCAGTTGTCGCCGACTCTGATTAGTATATAAATGTGAAATTTATAAATTATGGGTATTGATTGGGTTAGGGGTAGAAGCAAATTACCTTGGCTTGAGCAATTGTAAAGATCACCAGGTTGACCATTGATGGTGTATGCATCAGACACATTAGGAGCTCCTCCAGTCCGGGTTGACTGCCTCAAAACGTTGATGGGGTTCGCGTTCCACCATTCACCAAGAAGAAGGGTAGTTTCGCGTTTCGGCTTAGTGAATGGGTAGGAGTCTCCTTGTTTTGGATGAATGATAAGTGCTCCATAGACAGTGGCTCTTAGCCATGAGCTGTGAGCATGCCACCACAAAGTACCTTCTTGGCCTTGAATTGTAAATCTGTAGGTGTAGCTCCCTCCTGGCCTAATTGGGCACTGAGTCACAAATTCAGGTCCATCTGCCCATCCAGTTCTCATTTGCCTAATTCCATGCCTGCAATGTACATTAATGAATATAAGATCACGTTTAATTGAGGAAATGAAGAAGCAAGAAAGAAGAATGAATCATGCATGCATGCATGCAAACTAGTTACCAATGGATGGTGACGTTGTAACGAGCTTTGTTGGTGACTTTGACGACCAGAGTGTCACCATTGTTAACTTCCAAGGTTGGTCCAGGGAATTGCCCATTGACTGTGATGGAGTTTTGGGTTGTGCACAGCCTCTTCACTGGTGTTGCTTGAATCTGTTAATCCCAATTTTATCCAAATAGTCAGTATCTAATTAGAGAGAAAAAATGAAATTAAGGGGGCTAAAACAGAATATATAAACACTTAAGAGATACAAATTAAACTTACAACAAAGTCATGTTGGTGAGTTTTGGGCTCTGCCAAGGACATTGCTGATGAAGCAAACAGAAGGCAAACGCCTAAGAGTAACGAGCATCGAATTTTGTTGCCGAAAATGCTGTTGAGTGCGTCCATATCTGTGTTAGCTAAGCTAGCTATTAGCTGCCAATCAACCCCTTAACCTTTGTTTGAATGATATTAGTGCTCTAGAGGTGGTGAGTTGAATGACAAAGTAATAGAAACTGGGCTTCTTTTATAGGAAGATTTGAGGAGAGAGATTGTGGTTTGAGGTTGGCAGATTAGGTTTTGATTAGCAAAATGGTCAGATTCCTGAGCAAACTTAGTTCAACCCTATAGGAGTTGTTGCACCCACTGGGCTATTCAAAGTGAATTATTTTTCTTCAATGTGCTTGCTTCACAAGTCTTCCTTCCTGGATTGTACAATTTCAATAAAGCATTAATCTGCAAAGAATTAAAGCTCAATTCTTATATTTCTTCTACGACATCTGACCTTTCTGCATGCATCTTTTATGTCCAAATAAGGCCAAACACGTAATTATAATTGTCAAATCAAACCCATGAACTACAAAGATCAACCTTGAACGCCAAATTAACTCTTGATTTGCAAAATCATTAGCATCCCTTTCCTGAACTCGTAATTAAGATAATCACTAATCATTTCTAAACAATGGCTAACCTACCCCAAATATATAACAGATCGATATTATTAGTCAATTTCTCTGTTGACCTTTTCTGGAAGGATGCCAGAGGGAAATAGTATACAAATTATAATCTTTGCATGAATCTGGCAAACCATCTTTTTTTTTCTTTCCTAATGTTGGAAATCAAAAAGTGATTAATCAATTAATTAACATGCCTTGAGCAAAAGCCCATGCTTTTCGGAAAAGTGGAAGAGTTATCGATCATCTTTAGAATCATCGGAGGGATTGAGTGTTCTTTAGAGATTTTTTTCCCACAAAATTAAGTTACCCGTGCTTCATTTGGAGATGCCGTAATGTAATACTCAATCAAAATGAAGGGCCTTAATCTATCAATTAATTAGAATTCACTCTCTAGGATTAGACAAACAGAGCAGATATCTTCGGTTCAAACTCTTATGCTATTAGATTCCATATAGTTTAGACCATCGCTTGTAATTTTAAAAACACAAAACAAGATTTTTTTTATTTGGGGTTTCAAGAGAAGGAAGGAGAGGGGCCCACAATGATGTTGGACTAGGTCACGATCGATGATATTTAGTTGGTTAGAGACAAGTAGAGACGGTCGAGTGCGGGGGATTGAGGTTTCTAATTTTATCTTATGTTAAATGTGGGGCAACGTTGATGATCAAATCAAGCTGCCGTTTGGAGGGAAAAAAAACGACTAGATAAAGTCATCTCTATAATTAGGTGGCATGTGTAGACTGCCTTAATTACAAAGAAGATTTGATTGTGTCCAACCACAATTCAGTTGACATACAATTTAATATGTACGAATTAGGTAGCCTGTCACAAAGCAGAATACATGGATCATCTATATGATCTTCTTTCTCGTGTTTTAGTTTGTGGTGACGTAGATAACAACATAAATGGCTACCACATTTTGGTTGGTTTTGTCAACTCTACTTCTTTTGTAGGCAAATGGATATGTAAATTGACCAACTATATGTACTACCAATACTATTAAAATCGCATTTTTTTTATTATTAAAGTGAAATAAATCTACTTACGTACGTAACTGCGTCTCGTCTTTGTAAAATATGTAGTACATGTTGTATTACTCATAAATAAATAAATAAATAAACTAATTTAATTAAGAACCCTTCATTTTTCTTAATTTTGATTTGCTTTAAGGCTATATGGAGGCTAATTACGTATGTTATTAGTAATAAGAGTTGATAATGCTAAGCAGGGGGTTTGGTAAGTAGAAAATTACAGGGGGACAAGGTGACAAAACCGTTAATCACTTTGAATGTAAGCATGTCAAAACACAACAGAATTCGATCCAACTGAGAGTGAAAGGGAGGAAGAAGGGGAGGAGGAGGAATTGGATTGGATAGGCGAACCAGATTCAATGATAGCAATTGACACCAAGTTGGTGGAGTTTGTTATTGACCTTTTTAACACATAAATATTCTAATTAAGAAGAATAAGTACAAGAGAAGTCGTTATTAAAAAAATTGATTGAAGACCAGACATACACAACAAGTACTTCCTTGTCAAACTTGTGCATCTGGTGTTCTTTTTGTGTCTCAAGCCAAGCCTTACCAGCTATGGCTTCCTTTAAAAAAAATAAAAAATAAAAAAAAATCCTTTTGCTTTGTTTATTATAATTTTCCATCTGCTTTTTTTTTCTTGGGTTTTCGATCGTTTTCATTGGTAGTTGTAGGTGGGTGTGAAGTTAATTGCAATTCTATATTTCCATCATTGGTGCTTGGCTTTATCCAAAATCGGGGCTTAATAACATTTTCACGCTAAATGGGGCTTAATAACTTTTTCTTTTTAGGATTTGCAAAATGTAAATGTCAAAGTTCAAAGTTTTCATTACTAAGCAATTAATCCATCAAGAATATCTGCTAAACTTCGTTACGTGCTTCCTTACAAGTTCCAAGTTTCAAAGTTTCATTACTAAGCAATTATTCAATGGACTACTAACCCAGAGAGCATTCACCTCACAATAAGTTTGGGACCTTGTTAGGTCCAATTATTCTTCTAGCCACGAATTTTAAATCGTGCACATTATTATTATTTTTTTATTTTTTTTTATGAAATGGGGGGATAAACCCCAACAAACAACTACAAATTAGCAAGAGAAATTTGACGAGAACGAGAGACCCCTAAGAGGTCATCATTAGCCCATACAACCACGCAGAATGCCACCAACACCAATATTCCCAGAGGCAAGTTTGTGAGAACCATCCACATTCAGTTTAACCACTCCAGTACCAGGAAACTCCCAAGCCAAGAAAATTTGTATTTTCTCCCCAGCTACTGATAAGTCATTTATATATCACATAAATTTACTCTTTTCATTTAGATGTTGTATGGCTTTTGTGTTTTCAGGAACTCTAAAATGCCAAAAATGGAGAAATTACTTATTACTTGGAGATGAAAGCTAAGAGGTCAAGAGAATTATTACTTGGGGCAGCCAACTGTTCAAAATGAATTATTAAATTCAGGGCATGTGCCATACTGGCAGATTGGAGCTGTTGGGCTTGAGGACAATTTTAGTCAAGTTTATGTCATTTTTCTTGGAAAATATTTGTCATAAAAATTGTAGCTGACGTCAATACCTTTTTAATGACATCTTACACGTTCAATTTGGTGAAGATTAAGCCCACCAAAAGCCCAGAATCGAAATAGCTACGGTAAGTTGCAAAGAATTAGGAAAGCTGACTTGTACTTTATACAAATATATTTCCTATCGGTTACAATTTGTTGGGCGGTTCATGCCTTGCAAGTTATTTATGATATTATTTTCTGTATTTTTAATTATATTCATGTGTAACTAAACTTTAATCTATGGCGGGGTTAAGCCCTAGCATGATGATATAGTACTGTATGTTTATTTATCCATTAATGTGATTTTGTGTTTGAATTTTTAATTACTGAGTGTTATACTGGTTATGTGCTTTGATGCTTGTTCACCATTATGGTATATGATTAAGTTATATTATGCAAAATTGAGTGAATGCCACACTGATTTTGAGTATGCTTATTGCAATTAAAAGGTGTGATTATTTAGGGTAAATGCCATGTTATAAGAATTACATGATTGATTTGGTTACTCGTGCTCATTGTACTCTTCATGTTTATATCTAGCCTAAATGCCATAGGGAGATTATATGCTGTAGGAGTTGTTCTAGCCTAAAATATGCCATAGGGAGAATAAACGTAAGGTAACCAATCTTCAATATGAAATTACCTCTTAACGGATGAATGAACATAAGTGCTATATTGGATTGCTTGTGGTGGATGCCTCAACCAATTAATAATCCTTCAAAACCGTCTTTTCAATTTGTGTTTTATTTTATTCGCATTAAATCCAAAAATAATAATTCATTGATTTACAAGTCAAGTATTTAGTCCATCTTTTCAATTGACTTCAGTCTTCGTGGGAATGACCTCGTATTTACCTTTGCTATACTAATAATAGCCTTGTTCTATTGCGAGTATATATAGCATTTTAACCTCTGTTTTGCAGGTGGCTAAAATCCTATCAGCTATATTACCACCACACGGAACCTTACTTCATTCAGAGATAGCATATAGGATGATTTGCCTGGTGTTAGAAGGAGCAGCCTCATCAACATTAAAGATAGATTGGTTTCTCCATTTCCACAAATACCAACAAATAAACACAAAAACAGAGCACCAAAAAATACTCCTAGACCATCTAAACTTGGAAAGGATATTAGTCTTTAACCAAGGCTAGAAGTCAGTATAAAATAAATTATTTTGTTGGTGGGGAAGCAAGAAATATCGCCAAATCTCTTTGGCTTTAGTACAATCTCTTAAGAATGTGGAGATCAGTTTCATAGGGCCAATCACATATAGAGCAAGAAGGGTCAGTAGCTAAATTCCTTCTTACTCTCTGATCATTTGACAGGATTTTATCTTGGTAGACAAGCCAGAGGAAGACTTTTAACTTGGGGGGAAGGTTCAACTGCCATAAAACCTTCCAAAATGAGTCATTCCAAGAAGAGTCTCCAAAAGCAGTTGATAGGCAGATTTTACCATGAAAACCCCATTGGTTGTGTGTTTCCAAATCAGCGAATCCTGTGAAGTCCCAATAAAACTAACAGGAAAATTAAGTATTCTTTCTATTACCTTAACAGGAGCAGCAACTTTCAACCTCTCAATATCCCACCATCCATGCTTAAAGAAGCTTGAAACAGGGAAGTCCAAATCCAACACATCACCAATTCCCTCATACTCCATCAATTGTATGTCAGACAACCACTTGTCTCTCCAAAATTTCACTTTATCCCCCATCCCAATTCTCTAAGTCATCCCCTGCATAAGCAATTTGGAGCCATGCAGAATTCCCTTCCAAGTGGGAGAACAACCATGTCTACTAATCAGAGAATTGTCTAAGATAGAGCAGCCTTGCAGGTACCTATCCTCATAAATTTTGGCCCACAAACCCTTATATTTAGCATGTAGTCTCCAACCAATTTTACCCAGCACAGCTTGGTTCATTAACGAGGTTTTCTTCAGA